ATCGATAGGCAAGTATCGGCCGGCGCACTTGCGCCTAATTAGGCTCTTTTGATTTGGGCTTTGCGCATGAATGGCTCCGCTGTCAAAGGATGCCATTCGCTTTGAAGCCGCGCTCGTGTGCTATCCGAGTTAAAAATTTTAGCCGACCGGTCGATCCGCGCGAAAATGCTACTATTCACGGGACGCGCGCAGCACCGAGCGATATTAGAGCGATATCGTGGGGTTTTCATGGGTGGAGCGGGGAGGGTAGCTACCGACGCCGCTGATATCTCAAGGTGCGCAGTTACAGGCTGGATCGTCGGATCGACTTTAGAATAGGCGCTGCTCCTCGTCTATTTACGTCCGGAAGAGGTGAGAGGTAAGATTTGAACGGTGGCTGCGAGTCTTGCGCGAGTGCGAGGGATATCGAGGCTAAGCATACAGGCACCTCGTGAATCGTGAATCGTGAATCGTGAATCGTGAATCGTGAATCGTGAATCGTGAATCGTAAATCGTGAATCGTGAATCGTGAATCGTGAATCCAACGAATACGTTTTGGACTACGATTTGGCTGATGGACTGCTTAACGTTGAAAATATTATTGTTTAATGGTGATAAGCTTTAGGCTCTTAGAGGCTCGACGCAAAGTCTTTACCGCGAAACTTTGGGTAAAAAATACTAAAAGTAGGCTTGTAGTTCGCACGGAGAAAATTTTCTTCGCGTCGAGTATGTTGCTTTTGGGCTGAACGAAGAGTAGAGAGTTCCAATGACGATGATTGATGATTTTACTAGCGCAAATATTGCAAAAGTGTAATGTTAGAACAGAGCTTCGATTACACAATTAGAATTGCAGGAGAGGATATTTATGGGTTGTTATTCGTTTCTCATTTTTCCACTCCCGTCTTATTATTTTATTGTCGAGCTGACAATTAATTAGCATGGCATTATGTGGCAAAAATTTCAAGCATTTTTTGGTCAATTAAAATTTTTAAACAGCGGTAAATGCACTGACTAATTAGAGGGATGTTCGGTACAAGATTATAATTAGCACTCGCTATATTCTCTTTTTTAAATTGAGCGAGTGCGTGCGGGACAGGTGCGATCAAATTTGGGCGTATTCGCATAAGATTGTATCGGTTCAGAGGAATAAATTTACACGGGAAAGTTTAACGGAGAAATTACGGCGAAGTGGAGAATTTGCGAGGTGAACGTACGCGTTACGTTTCGTTTATCTTATGCTTGAATTTTTTTTTTTTTTTTTTTTTGCATCATTTCATTATGCAGTTTCGTTCAATGATACATCGCTTGCTTCTTGTACGAAATTCAGCGACGACGACGACGACGACGACGACGACGACGACGACGACGACGACGACGAGTGGCACAGTTTTTTTATCATTTGTACGATAAGTGGAACGAATGCGAATTTTATATTGCACACAACATGTATGTATGCCTGCGTATATAGCAAAGATCGAATTATATCCATAATACGTATAATTAAAAGAGAATTAGCGGTAAAGTTTTCGAAGCTGATATTTAAATGTCGTTTGAACGTAAATTATTATGCTACTCGAGTAGTTTCTCGATATTAAAGTGAATATGAAAATTGTCGAGAAAGGGAATAACATTAAATGACAATTATAAATACAAAATGGTAAGGAGTAAATCATGATAACATGTAACGTATTTACGAAAATTCTTCAACAATATGACGTGTTTATTGTACGGTGAGATACTTCAGTCATTTAGAATAACATAGAAATTACTCTGGCATTAATAATCGTAAGGGATCGTGGTATTAATAAACGTAAAGGGATATCGAGGCACTATTTTTAAGAAACTTAAATCGAATTTCGATGGAGAATTTTCATAAGCCGTACGATGTAGGAGCATCGGAAAGTTTCGAAAACAGAGAGGGAAAATAAGCTGCCTGGCCGCTAAATATCGTTTTAAGCGCAGCACGAACTAAGCCAGCCCATTCGTATTCTCCACGAGGCGGCGGTGGCGGCGGCGGCGGCGGCGGCGGCGGCGGCGGCTCATTTTCACAGTGGGAAATTCAAAACGAGCTTCCGAGGATCAGAGTGCATCGCCAATTTTCACGAGCCCCTACATATTTCCCAGTAGACGTTACTGGCGTCGCGTAATTATCATAGGCCAGGCATCGTTTGTCCTCCCACCCCCACCAACCCCCATTCCCACCCCGTTCGACGCCTCCCCCTTCCAATGCCAAGCACTAAAATGCAAGCAGCATGTGACAATTATACACTTTGTGGCGATTTATTATATGATCTCTCGTGCAGCCGTAGGCATAATTAAGTGTCCCGCGACTCGCCAACCAACGACAAGCAACGACCATTGACACTCGAGCCGATTTTTCTCATGCTTTTCGGGTAAAGCCTCGCGCGTGTAATTGCCCAATTGATTAATATAATTAAATTGCAGAGGCGATCAAGGATTTGTCGCGACACCAATGCAGCGACACGCATGAGAGCCCGTAATTGTTGATTTCCATCCAGCGAGAATGTCGTATCCGCCTGGGCTTCCCACACTTTATGGAATCCGTTAATTCACTAGCCAAAGTGGCACGATGACATTTATTATTATAGAGAAATTTTTAAGATATTGTTATTGTTATTGTTATTGTTATTGTTATTGTTATTACTGAGACGATACGCTCGCAACGCCACTGGCAGGATTTACTTATTTGCTTCGTGAAAAATAAATTGACATCCAGTTAAAACAGCTTCTCGTCTTTCAAAAAAAATCAACGCCGCATATTTTATTTCGTTTATTTAAGCAAAATATTTGCAGCGCGGCGATTCCAACATCGGCGTAGATAAACAAAAGGAAAATGGGACAGCTGAATACGACTGACTACCACTACTATTCTACGAGGCGAAAGATTCCTTTCTCGTGTGCACTTGAACGAGGCGGACGCGTCAGCTGCAAAAGTGCATGAGCCGCCGCCGCCGCCGCCACCGCCATGACGTAAAGCCTCGTATGCGGCCGACCGAGAATGCATCTTCGTACAATGCCAAGCAATGGCTTTTTCGATCGCAAATTTCGAGTATCCTGCAATAAGCCCCACTTTCCCCTCTGATTGCTGACACGACTTCTCCAAGGAGATGCTGATGCCACTAGACGCCGCACCGACTCATAATTTGCCCTTGCAGTCCACGGTCGGCTTATTGACGGAAGTCAATAAACGGCAGCCGAAAGCCAATCCAATACCCGCTAATTTACCCGTCGACTGACCGATCTGCGCGCGATCGATCGGCGACGCTCGCGTACCAACGATCGCCTACTCGACGAATTCGTGGCGCAATTCGTATGAGATCCCCCTCATCGGCCATCCCAATGCATCGAGATCTTAATTTAGATTTGAAAAATTCAAAAATAATTGCCTAAAGGCTTATCGCGATTTTCAATCGTATTATTATGCATCGACAATAAGGGGGGGGGGCGGGGGGAAATATTAGCTTAATTAAATGTCGGAGATGGATTAGAAAATTTACGGGCGAAAATTGCGTTATGAGCTGCGCTTGATGACGCACGAGCAACAGGCCCGAAATGGTTTCAACTTCCTCTCGCGGGTTTTCGCATAAACCCTAAAACAACTCCTCGACTTTAGGTATGACGAATAGGGCTCGTTTAAAAAAAAAAAACTGTCACTACGCAAACGATTGATTAAATCATCGCTTTAATAATACTCGGGCTAAGCTCGGTAACGCACGACAATATCCGAGTATCCGAAAGAGTTTCCGAAATTTTATTATACCGTGTGCTTTTAAGTTTCCAGGGACACAACTATAAATACGGGCCTTAGCACTGCAATAGGATTACCGGCTAACGTACGTACAAAGCTCTCCGCGAAATTTATCACCGAGACGAACTTGGCTGCTATCGCGCGCGAATCAAAACTTATGCCATACGCGCCAGTAGGGACGAGACTTTTTTGGAATGGGCTGCTGCAAGTATTATGCACCCGTATATCGATAAAGACAGACAAATTGTCATCCGATTTAAGGAGAGTCATTGTATAAGAGAATATATGGTGGATAAGACGATCGTTGATAGAAAGACGTTGATTCTTATCCATCTAATGCCATAAATCCTATGTGTATAAATTTTCCCGACCTTTTCTACTGCCAATGAATTC